GAAATACAGCAGGTAATGGGCTGGTGCAATAACCAACCTGCTATTGGCCATTTCAAACTGCAATAGCCAATAGCAGGCTGGCTGTTGCCAGCTCTCCCCCTCCCCGGGCCGCTGCTTACTCTGCCCTCCTTCCGATAGCCTTCTATTCCCCTGTCCTCGCTCCTGCCAGATCTTCACCATGTGGCCTGCTAGAAGGTGCACAGACATTGCAGCAAAAGTCTCCTGGCCGAGCTTCTTCTTCTGCACAGGCCTGGACAAATCTCTGTTTATTCCAATAGGTCCCAACACTGGACAGCCTCTTCATGGGAATGGAGAGTTTCCAGAAGAAGCTGCCCAGCCAGGAGGCTTTGCAGCAGGCGTACAGTGAAGATCTGGCATTTGCGCAAGAGTCATTCCATACTGATATTGTACCAAGACCGTACATTGAAAAAGTAAAATACTGACAGTATGTCAGAAGGAAATACACCGTCACTTCTGCCATGAAAAGCCGGCCTGTCAGCATTCACAAAATCAGTTTAGTTCTGCTGCATTCCCTTCAATAATGCAAAGCTGTACCGGCTTCTCTCCTGGACTGAACTGGCTTACTCTGATTTCACTGCACACTGGGAGCTTCTCACATTGTGCATTAGAAGCTGCAGCAAGTCAGATAGAACCGGCCTCATTTCCTGGCTGAAGGACATCCAGCATCATCTAGCTCCTTCCTCCCCAGCCTAACTGTCCCCTGCCCACCCCTTTCATTCATTGGATTTCAATCATGAAGCAGTAGCATCACATGTGAACCTTACGTAGGGCTGGCCACATGCAAATACAGTCTGCCTAGGAATGCCCACTTCTGCAAACTGAGATCCAGCCATCAAGGAATTTTGAGATTTACATAACTCTTCCCAAGAGTCAGCCCACTGCTTGCATCAGGGTTGAGGGCTCTTGAGAAGAGTACTGAGGCCGGGTGCTGTGATGTTTGTGCTGGCCCCACCTACATTGCATTAGAAGCATTGAGACCATTTTCAATCTCTCCCTCTCTACTGGAATCTTTCCCTCCCCTCTAAAACATGCCCTGGTCACCCCAATACCCAAAAAAAACATCAAATGGACCCTACCGACCTTAACAATCTCAGACCAATCTCCTTACTCCCATTCACCTCCAAACGCCTAGAACGCCTTATCTACAGCCGCCTGAGTTGCCACCTCGCTGATAACAACCTTCTAGATCCCTTACAGTCTGGCTTTCGCCCCCTACACTCCACTGAAACCGCCCTCCTAGAACTCACTAATGACTTACTAACACCAATGGCCACTACTCCGTACTCTTGCTATTAGACCTTACTGCTGCTTTTGACACTGTTGACCACCTGCTCCTCCTCAAAAAAACTCCAGTCACTTGGCTTACAAGACTCTGCCCTCTCATTGTTCTCCTCCTACCTAGCTATGTGCTCCTTTAGAGTCACCTACAAATCTAACCTCTCACCTCCTCTTACTCTTTCTGTAGGGGTCCCCCAAGGCTCTGTCCTTGGACTTCTTCTCTTCTCTATCTACACTTCCTCCCTTGGTCAGTTAATAACCTCACATGGCTTCCAATACCATCTCTATGCCGATGACACTTAAATATATCTTTCTACTCCACAACTCTCCCCCTCAGTGTCCTTGCGTGTCACAAATCTACTAACTGACATATCAGCCTGGATGTCACAACACTTCTTTAGGACTTGGATCACACCAAGCGCGGAACAGGTGCAGAGCAGTTGCAGACCAGATCAAAACTGCATCCAATGTATTCCTATGGTATTTTTTGCTCCAGTTCACATCGCAGTGTGCAGTTCCAGAGCAGGTGAAAAAACTGCAGCAGGCCCTATTTTACCTGCTATGGAACGCATGCATATTTTTACCAAAAACGGCCCGGAACGCATCAAAAAACGCGGCACAACCCACTGCACTGCGTGTGCAGAAACCTGAGCGGATCTGCTCTGTATTTGGTGTGAACAAGGCCTAAAACTCAACCTTTCAAAAACTGAGCTCATGACATTTCCTCCCGCCAGTGCACCTTACCCCAACTTTTCCCTTGAGATTGATGACACAACTATCCAGCCCTCCCCTCATGCCAAGGTCCTAGGTGTCATCCTTGACTCGGACTTCACGTTTCTACCCCACATCCAATCACTATCCAAATCCTGCCACCTTCACCTTCGTAACATCTCCAAAATACACCCCTTCCGCACCAAAGAAACCTCAAAACTACTCATCCACTCGTTATATCTCGTCTTGACTATTGCAACTCCCTACTCATCGGCCTACCACTACACAGGCTATCCCCCCTTCAGTCTATCATGAATGCAGCTGCTAGACTCATCCACCTAACTAACCGCTCAGTGTCTGCAACCTCCCTCTGCCAATCCCTCCACTGGCTTCCAATAGCCCAAAGGATAAAATTCAAAATATTAACAACCACTTACAAAGTAATCCATAACTCTGCCCCCGGCTATCTCAAACCTGGTCTCAAAGTATCGCCCTAACCGTCCCCTCTGCTCTTCCAAAGACCTTCTGCTTTCCAGCTGCATCAACTCCTCCCATACTCGCCTCCAGGACTTCACTAGAGCCTCTCCCATCCTATGGAAGTGTCTACCCCAACCTGTCCGTCTATCTCCCGCTCTGACTGCCTTTAGGCGATCCCTTAAGACTCATCTCTTCAAGGAAGCCTATCCCACCTCAACCTAACCTCTAAACTATCACTTTCTCAAACAATTCATCCCCAGACAGCTACCTCCTCATGTATCACTTCTCCTCCCTTTTAGATTGTAAGCCCTCAGGGGCAGGACCCTCCTTACCATCTTGTCTTGTAATGTCTTCCTTATATTGTGAAGCGCTGCGCAAACTGTTGGCGCTATATAAATCCTGTATAATAATAATAATAATAATAATAATAATGGGGCATTGCTCGATTCTGACAGCCACGGCTCCCAAAGGCAGATCCATGCTGGGATTTGTAGTTTTATCACAGCTGGAGTGCCGAGGACGCCTACCCCTCAATTAAATGAATCAAAGAATCCTCCAACTGAACACAGTACTTACAGCTGGTGTGGGACACTGAAGCTGTCAAATGCCGGCTCCACAGCTTTAGAACTGACCAATCAACAACTGCTGATGGCTCAGCGTGTGGCTTCTCCCTGCAGAAAGCAGTGACAGTAAGTCACCACTACCCACAGGGATTTCCCCCCTCCTCTCTCTGTTCCTCAAGCACTCATGGGAGAGACAAGGAAGGGGGCAGGCACAGCTGGCTCAGGCACTAGAGAGGTGGGGCCAGCTGTCAATCAGGTGGCGGGGTGGATTCTGACAACACTAGATGCTGACTTTTGGGTCACAGAAGAAAATTAGTAAATTGCATTATTGAGTTTTGTGAATTGACTACCTCTAAACAGCAACTATATAACAAGCGATATCAATGAAATAACGGCCGAAATGAAGAAAAATAAGCTTTGTGAATTGACCCCATTGACCCAAAAGAGAACTAAAGTAGATGTGTATTCATTGTCCTTTTCATCTGTCCCTCCAGCGCTGGTGTGCGTCTCCGATCCAGCGCTGACTCCTCTGTCCTCCTCTTCTCTGATGTCCCACGGTGTCTGCACGCGGGTACACGCTGCTCCATAGACTTACCCTGTGTCTCGCTTTGTCTTCCAGCCAAACATCTGAACTGCGCATGCGCCCGCCCCAAGATCCTTTGCGGCCGCCCGAGACTCTTAAAATGTTCGGGCGGGAGTGCGCAGCGAAGACACAGGTAAGTATTAACCCTTTCAAAAAGTTTTTTTTGTTTTTGTTTTGCTAGCAGTAGATATATGGAAAAAAAGTGAGTGTTTAATAACCCTTTAAGTCCCCCGTCCCTGCATGCACACATATATAAACGTAAATACGCCACACATTACATATTGCGGCACGAACGTCGAAGTGAGAGTAATAATTGTAGGGCTATCAATCACTATTCACACTAAACTGATGAGCGGTAAAAGCTTTCAAAGCGTCGCCTATGGCCAATTTCAGGTATGGAAGTTATTCGCAATTTTGCGGGCGCGTGCGATTTTAAAGCTTGACATGTTTGGTGTCTATTTAACCGACGTGACCCCGTCTTTTATATTTTACCAAAAATTTTAATTCATATAAAATGTTTCATAACATAATGTAGGGAAAACAGGTTGGTTGTTTTCAACATTTTCGGTACTTTTTTTATTATATAGTAAAAAATGACCCCCCCCCCCTCCCCCAGTGGTGATTAAATACCACCAAAAGAATGCTCCATCTGTCCCCAAAAATTTTTATAAAATGAATGTCAGTACAGCGTTGCATGACGGAATAAATGTCAGTCAAAGTAGCGCAGCGCTGAATACTGAAAAATGGCCAGGAAGGGGGTGTAACACCGCGGTCTTCAATTTGAAAAACAAACAGTGAGCTGTATGCTGCAGACCGCTCCGCTTCCTTCACAGTGACCCCGGGGCAGTGCATGGTGCTGGTGGTGTGAATGTGACCGCACTGTGCTGCACACTGATTCGGTTGGAGGGTTTACTGATGGCTGTATTGTCCTCTCTCCATGACCTGTCTCTGGCTCACCTCAGAGTAGACAGAGGGCACTCAGGTGTGTACACCGCAATAAGGAGCTACCAGCCGGTTATATAACGTCCATCCCCGCATTCTATCAGCCCCCGGGGTCACTGCTCTCCCACAAACCCCTCAGCTGACTAGGGGACACAACAAACACGTGACTCCAGCATCATGGCAGCCACCCCCTGCCCTTCCCAACCCGCCATCACCCCTACAAGGGGAAACAGCTTACGTGTCACCAACTCCTCTTCATTGAATTCGGCAGCGCAGCTGGTGAGGAGCACACAGGGCACAGAGGCCATGACTAGTCCAGCTGTCTCTTCCGTACAGCTACGAGAACTACTTCCGCATGGCAACCGCCCAACTTCCTCATGGCAACTCTTGTACTTCCGCCCGGCTCCCCCTCCCTCTAAAGGGGAATGGACGATTCCTGCTTCAGTGGTACGGTCCAGACAGCGTCTCGTTGCCATGGCAGCAGCAATCGCCGCATCTTATTGCTCGCCGCCTTTGGTATGGCCGGATCTAGCGGAGCAGGCGACCCTGTGGGGCATCTCCTGGTTCAGGTAAGTAGCCGAGGATATTATAGAACCTTCATTCATTTACTATAGCTGAGAATTGTGGACTGAATTCCACTGAAGACTCCTTCTGGCAAATGTCCCTAATTATGCAGACTGATCAGCTGGACAAGAACGTGCGGCACACAGGTTGTCACATAACTATAGTCATGAGTGGTTCCAAATACCAGTCAGAGACCCTGCGTCTGAATCCCATTGGGTGTTTTTCTATTTTTAATTTTAAAGCTGAACTCCGGGATAAGCAAATATTCTCCAAATACTTATGTATTCATCTCAAAGTTGTCTTTTCCTCCCAAAGATGTCTGCTACTCCCAAAGTTGTCTTTTAAGCTGGCCATACACTAGTAGATTTCTGAACACACTTTCATATGAAAGATCTTTCGTTCTACTTTGTATTAGCTGAGTTGTCTGTCTGTTACTCCAAACGTTTTCTGTTACTCTCAGAGTTGTCTCTTACAAACCATTGTAGGAAAGATCTTTCGTTCTCCCTTCTATTAGTTGGTGGGGTCAAATCTATGATCAATTTTGCTACTCCCAAAATTGTCTGTTACTCCTAAAGTTGTCTCTTACTCTCAGAGTTGTGTTTTACTTTTGAAGTTGTCTGCCTGTTGCTTGCAAAGTTGTCTGTAATTCTCAAAGTTGTATGTCTGTTACTCCCGAAGTTGTCTGTTACTCCCGAAGTTGTCTGTTACTCCCGAAGTTGTCTGTTACTCTTTACTCCCAAAGAGGTCTGTTACTCCCAAAGATGTCTGTTACTCCCAAAGATGTCTGGTACTCCCAAAGTTGTTTGTTTCTCCCAAAGATGTCCTTTACTCCCAAAGTTGTCTGTTACTCCCAAAGATGTCTGTTACTCCCAAAGATGTCTGTCTGTTACTCCCAAAGTTGTCTGTTACTCCCAAAGATGTCCTTCACTCCCAAAGATGTCTGGTACTGCTGAAGATGTCCGTTACTCCCAAAGATGTCTGTTACTCCCAAAGTTGTTTGTTTCTCCCAAAATGTCCTTTACTCCCAAAGTTGTCTGTTACTCCAAAAGATGTCCGTTACTCCCAAAGATGTCTGTTACTTCCAAAGATGTCTGTTACTTCCAAAGATGTCTGTTACTTCCAAAGATGTCTGTTACTTCCAAAGATGTCTGTTACTTCCAAAGATGTCTGTTACTTCCAAAGATGTCTGTTACTTCCAAAGATGTCTGTTACTTCCAAAGATGTCTGTTACTTCCAAAGATGTCTGTTACTTCCAAAGATGTCTGTTACTTCCAAAGATGTCTGTTACTTCCAAAGATGTCTGTTACTTCCAAAGATGTCTGTTACTTCCAAAGATGTCTGTTACTTCCAAAGATGTCTGTTACTTCCAAAGATGTCTGTTACTTCCAAAGATGTCTGTTACTTCCAAAGATGTCTGTTACTTCCAAAGATGTCTGTTACTTCCAAAGATGTCTGTTACTTCCAAAGATGTCTGTTACTTCCAAAGATGTCTGTTACTTCCAAAGATGTCTGTTACTTCCAAAGATGTCTGTTACTTCCAAAGATGTCTGTTACTTCCAAAGATGTCTGTTACTTCCAAAGATGTCTGTTACTTCCAAAGATGTCTGTTACTTCCAAAGATGTCTGTTACTTCCAAAGATGTCTGTTACTTCCAAAGATGTCTGTTACTTCCAAAGATGTCTGTTACTTCCAAAGATGTCTGTTACTTCCAAAGATGTCTGTTACTTCCAAAGATGTCTGTTACTTCCAAAGATGTCTGTTACTTCCAAAGATGTCTGTTACTTCCAAAGATGTCTGTTACTTCCAAAGATGTCTGTTACTTCCAAAGATGTCTGTTACTTCCAAAGATGTCTGTTACTTCCAAAGATGTCTGTTACTTCCAAAGATGTCTGTTACTTCCAAAGATGTCTGTTACTTCCAAAGATGTCTGTTACTTCCAAAGATGTCTGTTACTTCCAAAGATGTCTGTTACTTCCAAAGATGTCTGTTACTTCCAAAGATGTCTGTTACTTCCAAAGATGTCTGTTACTTCCAAAGATGTCTGTTACTTCCAAAGATGTCTGTTACTTCCAAAGATGTCTGTTACTTCCAAAGATGTCTGTTACTTCCAAAGATGTCTGTTACTTCCAAAGATGTCTGTTACTTCCAAAGATGTCTGTTACTTCCAAAGATGTCTGTTACTTCCAAAGATGTCTGTTACTTCCAAAGATGTCTGTTACTTCCAAAGATGTCTGTTACTTCCAAAGATGTCTGTTACTTCCAAAGATGTCTGTTACTTCCAAAGATGTCTGTTACTTCCAAAGATGTCTGTTACTTCCAAAGATGTCTGTTACTTCCAAAGATGTCTGTTACTTCCAAAGATGTCTGTTACTTCCAAAGATGTCTGTTACTTCCAAAGATGTCTGTTACTTCCAAAGATGTCTGTTACTTCCAAAGATGTCTGTTACTTCCAAAGATGTCTGTTACTTCCAAAGATGTCTGTTACTTCCAAAGATGTCTGTTACTTCCAAAGATGTCTGTTACTTCCAAAGATGTCTGTTACTTCCAAAGATGTCTGTTACTTCCAAAGATGTCTGTTACTTCCAAAGATGTCTGTTACTTCCAAAGATGTCTGTTACTTCCAAAGATGTCTGTTACTTCCAAAGATGTCTGTTACTTCCAAAGATGTCTGTTACTTCCAAAGATGTCTGTTACTTCCAAAGATGTCTGTTACTTCCAAAGATGTCTGTTACTTCCAAAGATGTCTGTTACTTCCAAAGATGTCTGTTACTTCCAAAGATGTCTGTTACTTCCAAAGATGTCTGTTACTTCCAAAGATGTCTGTTACTTCCAAAGATGTCTGTTACTTCCAAAGATGTCTGTTACTTCCAAAGATGTCTGTTACTTCCAAAGATGTCTGTTACTTCCAAAGATGTCTGTTACTTCCAAAGATGTCTGTTACTTCCAAAGATGTCTGTTACTTCCAAAGATGTCTGTTACTTCCAAAGATGTCTGTTACTTCCAAAGATGTCTGTTACTTCCAAAGATGTCTGTTACTTCCAAAGATGTCTGTTACTTCCAAAGATGTCTGTTACTTCCAAAGATGTCTGTTACTTCCAAAGATGTCTGTTACTTCCAAAGATGTCTGTTACTTCCAAAGATGTCTGTTACTTCCAAAGATGTCTGTTACTTCCAAAGATGTCTGTTACTTCCAAAGATGTCTGTTACTTCCAAAGATGTCTGTTACTTCCAAAGATGTCTGTTACTTCCAAAGATGTCTGTTACTTCCAAAGATGTCTGTTACTTCCAAAGATGTCTGTTACTTCCAAAGATGTCTGTTACTTCCAAAGATGTCTGTTACTTCCAAAGATGTCTGTTACTTCCAAAGATGTCTGTTACTTCCAAAGATGTCTGTTACTTCCAAAGATGTCTGTTACTTCCAAAGATGTCTGTTACTTCCAAAGATGTCTGTTACTTCCAAAGATGTCTGTTACTTCCAAAGATGTCTGTTACTTCCAAAGATGTCTGTTACTTCCAAAGATGTCTGTTACTTCCAAAGATGTCTGTTACTTCCAAAGATGTCGGTTACTCCCAAAGAGGTCTGTTACTCCCAAAGATGTCTGTTACTCCCAAAGATGTCTGGTACTCCCAAAGTTGTTTGTTTCTCCCAAAGATGTCCTTTACTCCCAAAGTTGTCTGTTACTCCCAAAGATGTCTGTTACTCCCAAAGATGTCTGTCTGTCACTCCCCAAGTTGTCTGTTACTGCTACTCCCAAAGTTGTCTGTTACTCCCAAAGTTGTCTGTTACTCCCAAAGATGTCCTTTACTTTCAATGATGTCCGTTACTCCCAAAGATGTCTGACACTCCCAAAGATGTCTGTTACTCCCAAAGATGTATGTTACTCCCAAAGATGTCTGTTACTCCCAAAGATGTCCTTTACTTTCAATGATGTCCGTTGCTCACAAAGATTTCCGTTACTCCCAAAGTTGTCTGTTACTCTCAATGATGTCCGTTACTCACAAAGATTTCCATTACTCCCAAAGTTGTCTGTTACTCTCAATGATGTCCGTTACTCACAAAGATTTCCATTACTCCCAAAGTTGTCTGTTACTCTCAATGATGTCCGTTACTCACAAAGATTTCCATTACTCCCAAAGTTGTCTGTTACTCTCAATGATGTCCGTTACTCACAAAGATTTCCATTACTCCCAAAGTTGTCTGTTACTCTCAATGATGTCCGTTACTCACAAAGATTTCCATTACTCCCAAAGTTGTCTGTTACTCTCAATGATGTCCGTTACTCACAAAGATTTCCATTACTCCCAAAGTTGTCTGTTACTCTCAATGATGTCCGTTACTCACAAAGATTTCCATTACTCCCAAAGTTGTCTGTTACTCTCAATGATGTCCGTTACTCACAAAGATTTCCATTACTCCCAAAGTTGTCTGTTACTCTCAATGATGTCCGTTACTCACAAAGATTTCCATTACTCCCAAAGTTGTCTGTTACTCTCAATGATGTCCGTTACTCACAAAGATTTCCATTACTCCCAAAGTTGTCTGTTACTCTCAATGATGTCCGTTACTCACAAAGATTTCCATTACTCCCAAAGTTGTCTGTTACTCTCAATGATGTCCGTTACTCACAAAGATTTCCATTACTCCCAAAGTTGTCTGTTACTCTCAATGATGTCCGTTACTCACAAAGATTTCCATTACTCCCAAAGTTGTCTGTTACTCTCAATGATGTCCGTTACTCACAAAGATTTCCATTACTCCCAAAGTTGTCTGTTACTCTCAATGATGTCCGTTACTCACAAAGATTTCCATTACTCCCAAAGTTGTCTGTTACTCTCAATGATGTCCGTTACTCACAAAGATTTCCGTTACTCCCAAAGTTGTCTGTTACTCCCAAAGTTGTCAGTTTCTCCCAAGGTTGTCTGTTACTCCTAAAGATGTCCTTTACTCTTAACATTTTCTGTTACTCCAAAATATGTCTGTTATTGCCAAAGACGTCTGCTACTC